CTGAAATTTGGGAGAAAGAAGCCTTTGCATCCTCTGAGGGATCAACAGGAAGAAGGCTGCAAGCAAAAAGGCCATTTCCTATGCTACTAAGCCCTTTTTAAGTATCTGGAAACAATACAGCTCATGAGTCACTCAGTGAACTCAACTCAAGACATCTCCAACACATCCAAATACAAGAAAGCATTGAAACACACAATACTCATCCAAAACAAAAATACCTTTTGCACTGGATTTCTTCTGGCTCATCCCCTCCCTACTACAAGAAAATCACCACAGTCAGTGAGTCTTTCCCAGCTGAAAACAAATTGCCTGGCAGACGAAAATGAAGCACCCCCACCCAGTACACACCCCATGATATCTTGGGTAAATCCTGCCAGAGCCAGCGAGTTCCACAAGCCAAATTCTGCTGCCAGTTCAGTGGCAACTTCCTCCCTTAGCAGCAATTTGCAAAGCTTGCAGAAAGACATGGAAATGTCTGCCACATGCATTGCTGTACCCCAGGGGACATGCAGAACCTCAGAGGTTGTCAGTACATTTTTGCTGACCAAATTATGTGTGATATACGGTCTGCAAGTCCCAGCCAAAGTCATGACAAATGGAATCACAAGAAGTCCAGAGGTCTCCTTTCTCCGAGATTTTCCATGGGCTACATCATAGTAGTTAGGAGACTTAGGACCAAGAATTTAATAACCTCTTGATAATTTCATTTTATACAGTAATTCTGAATACAAGATTGCCAGCCTCTCTCAAAATGCCTGCTGAATGTAACATTGGTTTGAAGGACTTTCCTGATGGAATATTAAATGATGGAAAGGAAAACCCCGTCAAGGCCACCAGTCGGATCATGCCACATTCGAGTTGGACATGCAAGATGTTTCCTTTCAAACAGATCCTCTCTGTCACTCTGAAGGCAGTGACAGTGAAGTCAGGTGACACTGGGGAAGCATTTGTAAGATACCCAAACAGCCCATCTTAGATATTACAACAACAGACCATTTCAGAAGTTGTTTTCCACAGAAGACTTCAACCCAGTACCGTCAACATCATCCCAGACCCAGACTAACAGAGGCTGCAGGATTAACCATGTAAATGTCCTAGGCAAATACCTTCTCATTAGCAAATAGTGAATGGGTGTGATCTACAAAACTACAATTTTAAATAGAAGACAAAAAGATGCCTTCAGTAGCCTTAGGAGACATTATGAGCTTTTGAGCTCTGATATTCACCATGACATAAGATGATAATTAGAGGTCACAA